TCTTTCTGTCTTTGGAAGTAGTGTTTAGGTCTTTAATCATCTGTTCGTGACTTTAAAGTTTTCTACTGGTGTTCGTACTCAAAATGCCAATGGCTTGTCTGCATTGCCTTTTAGTTCCTGGCACTGTTTCCTGACATGTCTTTGAACTCATTTAAGCTAACATGTTTGTCTGTCTTTAGCTGATGTTGTGATCTCCTGACATTTCCTAAACCTCCAGGTATACATAAAAAAAAAGAGACGATATTTCTTTCCTACCCCATCTGAACAGATGATTGTTGTAACTTTCTAAGCATTAACTTTTCCATACAAAATATAGAAACTTGGTTTTCTGCTCGTTTTTATGATCCAGTTTCCATTTAGGCCTAAAAAAAATCCTCATGTTTTTGACTGTGGGTGTTGTCAAACATGAGAACATATTGCACAGTGATGTACATTTTCCATCCTTGGAGATGCCAAAAACCTAAATGGAGGGAGCCCTGAGTAATGTGCTGACCCTGCTTTTGAGCAAGGGCATTTGAGCTAGGAACCTGCGGAGGTCTCTTCCAGTCTCAAGTATACTGTCTTTCTAAGAGAACACATCTCTTTTTTTTTCTTTCCCTTATTTTGTGGCAATAGTTTGTTTGAATTTTTGTAATTTCGTCTGACTTCCTCTGTTGGTAGCAGCAGTCTCTTGTATAGCATTACCTTTTTGTCTTGGCTGTTTGCTTTCATTTATGCACATCAGTTTAAAGTTGCCTATGAAGTAGAAAGGATTTCCATATTCATTGAGGGGTATCATTATAAACTGGAAGGCCATTGATGTGAAAATCAAGTCCAGGCTCAAAGTCATCAGTATGTCATCCATATGTTGACATAGTTTGCTCTATAATGGCCTTTTCTAAGTAGAACCTTTCAGTGGTTGCTTTCAAGTTCATGACACTGATAGGAATTTTTGACCAATTTCCCATTGTGTCATCAATCTATTAAGGATTGGACTTTTACCTTCGGTGTTATGAATCCCAGAGGATTTCAGATGTCACTAAACGTTTATGTTCTTGATAAGTGAATCAAGTTCTTGGTTACCTCCAAGACAGATATTTAGGCTCCCCCTTTAGACAGTGGAGGCTTTATCAGATCGTATCATATCATATCATATCATATCACAGTGCTCCCACACCATATTTGAACAAAAATTATAAATAGGAGTATGTTGGGGACCTGCCTGACCACTGCCAACTCAATACTTGACTAACATTGTTGAGCATTCCTTGAGACCTTATCTCTACTTGTCTGTAAGCTAGCACCACCTTATTAATCCAAATGTATATATATACTTATATAAGTCTGTGAGTATGCAAGATGTTAATTACAGAAATATATGTATTAATTTAATAGCTGTGAGGTATAGCCGTTAATTTTTTTTTTTCCCCTTGATCTTAGTAAGACTTTTACAATCTTTTGTCATGGGAAAAGAAGTGGAAAGCCTTTGAAGCTGGGAGTATAGTACAGAAAAGGATCTAGGAAATGTGAATACAAATGAGAAAGTAGAAGCATTTTTGGTAGTAAAGTAACTGATTATTTTTTGCATTACTCATAAGGATAGATGGAAAGGCAGGAAATTTTATTACCTGAGAAAATCTTTTAGAAATCATTTAATATTTTAAAAGAAAACATGCCACAATAAAAGGGTATAGTGTTAAAAATTTTATACAAGTAATTTAAAACTGCCTCTATTGTAACCAAGGTGAGAATCCCATTCTTTTTAATTTAGCAGAAAGGTTACAAGTAGAATTTCACCCACCATTCCTTCAGTGCTTTGCTTGTAATTTTAGGAGAGATACTGCACAGGTCCCTGGTTCTAGCACTGTAGTTTATAAGCCCAGGAAGGTCTGGAATCCATTCTTTCTTATCTAAATATCTGCTCAGTCAGAAATCTGGTGCCAAAGTAATATAAATGGAGCTAGAGAGATAGAATTATTGAAAATAAATTTTTCACTTCAAACGCCCTTGCCAAGAAAACACAAGAATGTAAAATTAATGTTCACATTTGATGGGTGCCTATATAAAGCAATCAACAACTGAGTAATAAGGATGTATTATTTTCAATTCTATATTGAAAAACTAAAATAGAAGTTTTCTGTGGAAGACACCTTATAGAGATGTTTAAAAGAAAAAGACACCCCATAGAAATGTAAGGTATAGGTAGAGTGGATAAAACTGTATTGAAAATCAATATCCAAAATGACGTTTAAAGTAGATATTGTGCAAAACTTACTTTTTAACATTTTCATTTCCTAGAAACACTGTTTAGGATTGCATTACCCTGTCTTCTGAGAAAAAAACCCCAAACTTCTAAAAATGAAATTCATAAATGCAAAGCAAGCTAATTTAGCTAGCACATCCCCTTCTATTTACTGTAACTATTTAGTATGTATTTCTTCAAAATTATTAACAAAGTAATTCTCAAGCATTGGAGACACTTTCTTTCAAAAACATATATGTCTTTTGCAATCCACTGGGATTTTGTCTCTTCAGCGGATGACCCAAAAATATATGTTGAATTGTTTTCCATGTTGGAGTAAATTTAAAGAACTGGCAATATGAAATGTCTTTATTTAAAGAAAAAAAAAATGCACCCTTTACAGGACACTATAACTGATTGCTAATAACAATTTTAATCCTATTATTAATACAAGCTGTAGGACTCCTTTATTCTGAAACTGTTAATAGTTCAACATTAGGTGGACTGAGTTTCCAGTCCAAACGCTGTCCAGGCAAGGCAAAAGGAGTCCTCTTAGAAGGCACAAATTGCATGCATACTTGCTTCAAAGACTTGCTAGAGTAACATAAACCAGACTATTGCAACTGAAGTACAGACTTCATTTTATAACTGAGAATAGCTTCTGCCTACTGCCATCCAATGAAGAATGCAAATTAGATTTGGAGTCCATTTGAGAAAAAATACTTTCTTTAAAGTTTAAAGCCAAGTATTTGTGTAGAATTAGTAGATTTGTGTCCAGGCAAGGTTGTACATAACTACTTTTATCCCATGACAGATACAAGAGCAGTTCTAGAATTCTGTCATGCAGTCTTTGAAACTGGAAGATAAAAGAGTGTTGGAAATTGGAACAATGTGGGGAGGTCCTGAAAGTTGCTTGTGTATCTTATGTAAATCGATATACTAATGGTTTTACGTATTGCATACTCATTGCTTATATTTGCCTAAATATGTACTTTGATCACGCTGTCTAGGCTTGAAAATATGCCTAATACTCACGTATCATCAGCAAATGGTAAAAAGCTAAGTAAAATTCACTTTGTATCCTTGCTAATAGATATAACCAGGAGTGAGGAGAGCATAATAGATTTGGAGCCTCCTCAAATGACATTCTGATTTCTTTCAGTGAAGATTTGATTGTTTCATTCCTGATGCCTTTCTTACAGTGTTGGGAGGAACAGAGTGACCCAATTTCATTTTGTTCTTATGACATTACCCTTCTGGTTAGAAAGTGAGAGGGGCAGGGACATGTCTGGGATCTTGGTGTTTGTGCAGGTGCAAGGCAGGGGGTTGTCATCACGAGGAGAGGACTTGCAGGTTGGAAGGAGAAAGGAACACTGCGGTTTGCAGATGAATGTATTTGTGCTGGCTTGGCTCCAAGAGGAGATGCTCTAACCTCTTCATCTGTCCTCCTCTGGTGTTTCAAGTACTGCTTTGGGTGCTCATGCCTGAGGGTACTCTCAGGGGAAGGGGAGCATATATCAAATCCCTACCCCAGTGAGTTCTTCAAGTGTTGTAGCACTGGTGGCCAGGAAGGTAGCTTGTGGGCTAAGAGACAAACCACACGTGCACAGTATGGTGTATAAATGGACCAGAAGAAAACATCAGGAAAAGGCTAAAGAGAAGAGGAGGCTGGTTTTAAATGTTTTTAGCTAAATGTTTTCACTGAGGTATTTTAAACATGGAGTGTAGGCAAGTCAAGTTGTACTGTAACATCTGCTAGCATATTTTAACATCTGTTCGCATGGAGAGTTGAACATGAAGTTTTAAAAAGAGCTGGATTTGTTTAAAAATGTGACTGAGCTTTAACAGTGTAAAATAAAATATCTTTTCTAGGAAGATTGTTAGGTAATAGAAACCAGTTCCAATGTGTCTTCTAGTCCGTGTGGAATGAT